TTTGTTTCAGATGCTATGCACTCTATAATTGATCCCAATTCTATCAATAAATTGCATAAATTTGAGTCTTTTCCAACACAGAAAACAAATATTCTGCTTTGGCATAAGAGGCTTGGTCATCTACACATGGCAGTCTTTACAAAAATTCTTAACGCACTAAAAATTCTCATAACACTAAAAATGATATTACATTTTGTCAAGCATGTAAGTATGGGAAGTTACATTAGTCAACGTTTCCTAGGTCCTCATTCCATGCATCTAAACCCCTAGAATTAATATACTCTGATCTTTGGGGGCCTTCTCCAGTCCCATCACCTAAAGGATTCAAGTATTACATCCAATTTTTGGATGATCACAGTAGATTCACTTGGATTTTCCCTTTAAAAGCTAAATCAGAAACTCAGGCTGTTTTTAAGCAATTTCATGTCTTGGTTGAAAAGCAATTTAATACCTCAATAAAATGTGTTCAAACCGATTGGGGTGGAGAATATAGAAGCTTAGTTCCCTATGTTCAAGAACATGGGATTCTTTTTAGGCACCCTTGTCCTCACACTCACCAACAAAACGGTAGAGTGGAGAGAAAACATAGACAAATAGTAGAACAAGGCCTTACCTTGCTTGCCCAAGCCTGCATGCCACTAAAATACTGGTGGTTTGCATTTCAAACTGCAGCCTATCTCACCAACAGACTCCTCACATCAGTCTTGTCACATTTATCTCCATTTCAGGTTCTGTTTCACACTTTACCAAACTATTCAGCCTTTAAAGTTTTTGGATGTGTTATTTACCCATTTCTTAGACCATACAATAGTCATAAATTCAACTTTCATACTACTAAATGTACTTTTGTTGGTTATAGTTTATAGCACAAGGGTTATAAGTGGTTGGATCCCACTGGTCGTATTTATGTCTGTCAAAGTGTGAGTTTTGATGAAACTAAATTTCCATTTGCATCTGCTCAAACATCTATTTCTTTGTCTTCTAATGATTCATTTTCATGTGACTCTCATTCACATTCTTTTAATCATTCTGTTTGGCATTTACCTACCATATACCTTCCATACCTCCTAATGGTCCTACCAAAATGAATCAGTCTAAAATGCTGGATACATCAGGTTCTCATCCTACCATTTTACATCAGTATAACACTTCAGACACATCACAGTCTACCCCAGTTCTCCAGCCAACTCCTCCTTTCAACAAGTCTCCCACATTTGATCCTATCACACATGACAATACTCCTTATCCTGTCCCAGAAACAAACCTGTCAGATCAGCTTCAAACCTCCACATTATCACCCCAAACTAATACATCTGACCAGTCCTAAACCTCCATACTATGACCTCAAACTTTAGACTCCAATGAATCTTATGATTCTATTCCATTATATGTCTCTTTACCTCTTGCCAAACCCTGCCCCCAACCATTAAACACACATCCTATGCTCACTAGGTCTAAGACTAAAGCTCATAATACTATCTTAGTTTCTTCCCTTGACACCAAAGAGCCAGTAACAGTATCAAAAACTCTCTCTAATCCATCCTGGAAGGCTACCATGCGAGCTAAATTTGATGCCTTACTGATTAATAACACTTGGGAGCTGGTTCCTCTCACCTTTGAAATGCATTCAGTTGGTAGTAAATGGGTGTTTAAAATGAAGTATAACTCTGATGGATCTGTTCAGAGGTTCAAAGCTAGGTTAGTGGCTAAAGGATTTCAGCAAACTCCAGGTGTAGATTACTTGGAAACCTTCAGCCTTGTAGTAAAGTCACCAACTGTTCGTGTAATCCTCAGCTTGGCAGTGAATAATGGGTGGGATATACAGCAGATTGACATTAACAATGTGTTCCTAAATGGTGAACTTACTGAGACAATATACATGATTCAACCTGAAGGGTTTGTTAACCATGCACAACCTCATCATGTGTATAAATTAATTAAGTCTCTTTATGGCTTAAAACAAGCACCAAGAGCCTGGTTTGAGAAGCTAAAACAGGCCTTTTTATAGTAGGGTTCAGATTCAAGTCTTTTTATTTACAAAAAAGATGAGAAAATCATGTATGTCCTAGTTTATGTGGATGACATACTACTCATCGAAAATGATCCTACTTTAGTACAAGCTATTGTTCAAGACTTAAACACTAAATTTGCCTTAAAAGTCTTGGGATCCTTAAAGTATTTTCTTGGTTTTCAAGTTTCTAGAACTGCATCAGGCCTTCATATGAATCAAGCAAAGTATGCTAAAGATCTTTTGGAAAGAACTAACATGGGAGAATGCAAGCCTTGTACTACCCCTATGGCTTTCGGCACCAAGTTAACTCTGGATGACAATGAGCCTTATGAAAATCCAACCCTTTATAGAAGCACAATAGGAGCTCTCCAATACCTGACCTTATCTAGACCTGATATTGCTTATTGTGTTAACAAAGTAAGTCAATTTCTTAAAGCTTCCACACAGCTACACTGGCAGGCTTGCAAAAGGTTACTTCGGTACATTAAAGGCAGAACTCACTTTGGCTTGCAATTCACTAAAAGTCACAAATTAAACCTGGAGTGTTACACAGATTCTGACAGGGTAAGCAACCCTGAAGACCACAGGTCCACTAGTGGCTGTTGTGTCTTTCTTGGCTCAAATCTACTTTAATGGACCTTTAGAAAACAGAAGGTAGTAGCCCTATCATCCACTGAAGCAGAATACAGAGCTCTAGCTCAAGGTGCTACATAATTGACTTGGTTTTCCAGCCTTTTCTTTGAGATTGGCCTTCCTCTGTCAGAACTTCCAGTCATTTGCTGTGACAACCAGAGTGCTGGTTCATTAGCATCTAACCCTGTCTTCCATGACAGGACTAAACACATTGAACTTGATGCTTATTATGTGAGAGAGCAAGTCATTGCCCACAAGCTCAAAGTTCAATATGTTCCCACTAAATTTCAAAAAGCTGATATTTTTACTAAAGCTCTTCCAGCTCCCAAATTTGAATTTTTAAGGAACAAACTCACAGTTCAAGTTCCTTCTAGCTGCTGAAATTCTTGATGAATTCACTGTGTTCCATTCTTTTACTGAAGTCAAGCTCCTTCCAACTGCTAAAATTCTTGAAGAATTCACTGTGTTCCATTCTTCTGCTGAAGTTACTACTAACCGCTAAGAAGTATCTTGATATGTTCTACTCACTGCTGAGGAATTTTCTTTGTTACTGGTTGACTTTTGCTGATTGATTTTTGTTGTTGATGTGGTTATGCTGATTGATGTTGCTGTTGAATTTTGCTGAAGTAATGCTGGTTGATGCTGGTTGATTTTGTTAAATTGATGATGGTTGATTTTTTTTTGGTTGATGTGGTTGATGCTGATTGATTTTGCTAAAGTAATGCTGGTTTATTTTGCTGGTTAACTTTGCTGGTTGACTTTGCTGGTTAATACTGGTTGATTGTTGCTGGAGTGCTACTGGTTGATGATGCTATTGATGCTAGGATGAGAAAATGCTGAAGCTTGGAGGTTCAACTTACGGATGGATGTTAGGATGTTGAAAATGCTGAAGAAGTTGATGCTAGGATGAGAAAATGCTGAAGCTTGGAGGTTCAACTTACGGATGGATGTTAGGATGTTAGAAAGTTTGTTAAAACAGATAGCTAATTCTGTTAATCTGTTAATCACGTGTTAGAGTTTGTTAATATGGTTTTAAGTTTGTTAAACAGATGATTATTAGTTAGTTAGTACAGCTTGTATAAAGACAAAACTGTAGCTACCATTTATTGTTAATAAAAAAAAAAATAAAAAAAGGCAAAACAGATTACACTTTCTCTCTCAAACTTTCCCTTTTTCTTCTCTGCACTTTATCAGCTAACTTTTCGTTCCTCTGCATTTTACCAGCTGCTTTGACTAAGTTCAGCTGATTTTCACCTCTAATTATACCCATAGGGCTATACCCATACCCATCCTTGCAAAATCGGGGAATCCGCCGCCCTATACACGGCCATGCGTAGTCTAAGTCTAACCTACTCGAGCCAAAAACTAGAGAAGAAAATGAAATTAAATATCCTGGAAAAGCCGCATTATCATTTATCATGGCCAGTATTTTGCGAAGTATAATGACAGCTCAAGATTAGGTCCGAAAGAAAAATAGAAAATAAAACATTTCTGTTTCCTTTAATATATATATTTGTCAAATAATTCGACGACCAAAAATAAATTGAAATATATTCCTGGATATGTCTTCATGACGAATCAAGATTAGATTTGCAAGAAAAATATCAAATATTTTAGCAAATTAGAGTTTCCTTTTATACATTATTACGTTTGACTTTACAGTAGTTTGTAAAATTAAAAAATCTAAATAAATGCGAAAAATTAATAAAGGCCAAAGCTTGTTCAATATTGATGGATATTCTAGATGACCTAAAGTCTTACATAATTGGGTTCCATTAAAAAATGACACATGCAATTACGACACATAAGAACATGTTAGAAAAAATGTTACAATATACAGTTGACGGATACAGATTGAACTTTTTCGAAGGTCAGTGGGAGCACGAGCCCCTGCTCACCCCTTAGTGGCTCCAATCCATCCCTGTTCATCCCCAGGGTTTCTGCAATTTCAGATCTTAGGAAACTCTTTCCGAAAACTAATGTGAATAATCATTATCGTTCGAGACTATTTCTACCATTTACTTTATTTTTCTTAAACTCTCGGTGGATTGTTCATCTCCTTCATGCATGTAATAGCTTTAATTTTTCATTAACACATACTGGATTTCTTATCAATAGTTTTTATAATCGCACTCCATTTCATTTATTTGTTAGTCTGTAATTAATTTCCCATTTATTCAACGAAAATAGTGCAAGATTAAATTAAGAACTCAAATCAGAAGATCGATGATCCTAATTTTTTTTCAAAAGCTAATTTTTTTTATTTTTTTTATTTTTTTTTATTTTTTTTTTTTGCAAAAGCTCGTTCATATATTGAAGTAATAACGAAGACAGCTAGAGGAGAGCGATCAATGCATAAGAGAGAAAGCAGCTGCAACATACTGCCACTTAATTTATTAATTAATAAAACTTCAGACAGCAAATCAATTTCTCACACAATCTCACATATCACAGGGGGAAAAAAAAAAACAACTGAACTTTTCAATCGACTCAAGAACTTCTTGATTTATTTATTTTTGACAACCAAGTAACAGCCATTTTTGTTCCTTAATTTTCTATGCCTTGGTAAGATGAGCAGCAAGATCAGTCATAACGCTGACCATAAAATCCAAATATTCATTCGGAACTGGAACATCCTCACTTCGTTTCTCATATTCAAAAGTCAGTTTCAGCAAGCTTCCACTCTCTTTAGGAATAACTTGAATGATGGGCTTCCAGCTCTTGTAGTTCTTGAACACATCTCCTTCCAATCCCACAAGACCCACAGTCATCGTTTCATCGTCCACTTCGATCCTCTCTTTGTAACTCTCGCTCCTTCCCGCTGTAAATCACAAGAAACATAAAAGCTCAGAACAGAAGAGAATCCTAACAAGCGTTATAGACCTTGTTATATAAACAACAAGATCGAGAGATTCGATTTAAATTTAAAAGAAAAATAATAAAAAAATCAAATTTAACCTAGTTTTTCCTTACCAACAGTATAATTCCACAACTTGATGGAGCCAGCGGTCTCCCAGTCACCTTCATGAACCTCAACAGCCTGCATATTTGAAGGAGTGGCATTGGGGAGATGGTGGCATTGGCTTTTCCAGACATTGTAGAACGCCGCAGCCGGCGCGTTGATTTCTAAATCAGCCTCCAGCTTACCAGTAAGAGCCATCTCAATCTAGTGTAATAAGATTATAGAAACGATCGAGTACGAGAATCAGTATGGTTCAAGAACATTATATCGCCTCCCATTATATAGAAGTTAATTGAAGGGAAGGAATCACTATTCAGACAATAATTGAATGCCAATCTATTACTAATTTATTCAATGAATGGTTGGATTTGTAAATTATATTAAAAACAATCCTCACGTTCATAGTTAATGGGACCGAAACACATAATTTAGTACATTAATTAGTCTAAATATTTATTAAATTAATCATTTCACGTAATACCTTGACCTTTACAGCTTTTCAAACATCCAAACAAATCAATCGTCCACGTAAGGCTCCATTAATAGTGTTTTGAGATTTCAAAATAACACATGAATCATGTGTTTAAAGGAAATTAAAAAAATATGGAATTACATTGTTGTAATGCATGATAAACAGCACAATGAAATACTTAAATAAAGCTCAATTTTATAGCTAGCTTCATATAATTATTTTTAATATCACCTTATTACTAATGTGACATTGATTAATCAATTGTTCACATTATTTCATATATTTACCAAAAATATTTTCTCTCTTAATGTCAAGATTTCCTAAAAAGAAACACTAAATTTTATTGGATTATTAGTATAATCAATTAATTAGGTTTAGTTAATTAGTTTAGTTAGCTAATTAATCTGTTAGTTAGTTAGTAATCTGTTAGCTAGTTGTTAATTAGTTGTTATGGTTAATTAACTGTGGTTGACTAACTATGGTTACTTGTATATATATAAGCTTCTCTGCTTGTAAACGAATCCCTTAAGCTGAATAAGAATTTTTCTTCTCTCAAATGCAATTTGTTCATGGTATCATAGCAGTGTTTTTCAACTGCAAAATTAGTAGCTTCAATTAAAGATTCAAGTTAGAATCGACTCTAGAATCAACTCTGGTTTTCTCTTTTCTTCTTTATCTCTATGAAATTAGAGTAATTTCATCCAGCTGTTAGCTGAAATCTGTTATTAATTCGGCTGAATTCTTGCACAAAGCTGAAATAAATTCATCTCAAAATGTCGAATGTTACTTACTCGAGTTCACCTCTCTACATACATCCATCAGATACACCTGGTTCAGTTCTTGTTTCAAAGCAACTTATGAAAATTATGGAATTTGGAGTCGTGCGATGATTGTTTCTTTAAGAGCAAAAAACAAATTAGGGTTTGTTGATGGATCTTGTGAGAAGGCAAGTTTCAATCAATCTTTGCATGCACAATGGGAACGTTGTAATTCCTTGGTGTTAGCTTGGATCTTCAACACTGTTTCAAAGGAAATATTCAACAGTATTGTATACTCTAGTAGTGCGCGACAGGTTTGGCAAGATCTTCAAGAACAATACCACAAGGTTAATGGCACAAGAGTCTTTGGTATCCACAGAGAGATAGTTAACCTGGTGCAAGGAACTCACTCGGTTGCAGTATATTACAACAAACTAAAAACTCTATGGGATGAACTCAGCTCATTGGTGAGTTTGCCACCACCTGACAGTGAATCAGCTAAAGCATATTTGGCACATCTTAACCAACAAAAACTTCTACAGTTCCTTATAGGACTTAATGACTCATATGCATTGGTGCGAAGTCAAATTCTGTTAATGGTTCCCCTACCTTCTATCAAACAGACTTATTCAATTGTGAGTCAGGATGAAAGCCAAAAGGTCTTGACTAGATTTAATCAGAACACTGAAGTTACTACGACTCTTTACTCACAAGGGAATCAGAGAAATCAGACTCAGAGTTCAAAATATAAAGGAAAAAAGTCCTATGTTGAATGTGATTACTGCCACATAGCAGGACACAAGAAGGATAATTGTTACAAATGGCATGGATATTCGGCAGATTTTCAGTTTACCAAGAATAAGTCAGGATCAAAAGCTAAAGCCAATCAAGTTCACTCAAGTCAAGAATCAGCTTCACAACCTGAATCAACAACCAACAGCAACAAAGGAGTTAGCTTGGGCAATGTTTTAACTTCAGAGCAGTATGCTCAATTGATTCAGTTACTGGGCAAGGAGAACTTGGGAACACCATCAGCTAACCTAGCAAGTAATATTATTTCCTTATATTCAAATTATGGTGTTATTGATGATTGGATTCTTGACTCGGGAGCCACTGATCATATGACACAATAGTGTCTGAAATTTTACATCATCTGTTGATAATAAATCATCTACACCTGGTTATGTTAGTCTCCCAAATGGAACAAAAACATCAATTCAACGTATAGGTACTGTCAACCTACAAGAAAATTTGTCACTAGATAATTTTTTATACATACCAGATTTTAAGTACAATCTACTATCAATTTCTAAGTTAGCCTCTGATGGTCAGTGTTCTGTCACTTTTTATCCAGAGATCCAGGATCTTTGGAGTGGCAGATTGAAGGGGATTGGTAAGAAATACCAAGGGCTATATCATTTCATGCCAATCTCGAAAATCAACTCTTTTTTTCCTAGTTTTGTTTCAGCCTTAAGTACACATTTGGGAACCAAAGTTTCTGATTGTAATAAAGAAACAGATTGCAAATCTGTCAATGTAGCTATTAATTCTTCAATAAACACATTGTCTCAAAATAAGGATGTTGTTCTTTGGCATATGAGATTAGGACATGCTCCCTTATCAATCTTGCAGGATTTACATCATACTTTTAATAATCATTACAAGTTCCATTGTGAAACTTGTCCTTTAGCCAAACATACCAGGTTATCTTTCCCTACCAGTAACACAACCACTTCTCATGCATTTGAACTGCTGCATTTAGATGTTTGGGGCCCTTACAAGGTTGCCACTCAAGGTAATGTACAATTCTTTCTCACTATGGTATATGATTTCACTAGGATCACATGGATATTTTTGCTGCAGTTCAAGTCTGATGTATTCCAGACTTTGAAGAATTTTTTGCAAATGGTTCAGAATCAATATAATCACACTCCTCAATATGTTAGAATTGACAATGGCACATAATTTTTCAATAATCATTGTTGTGAATTGTTGTCTAGCTTAGGGATTATACACCAAAGCACTTGTGTCTACACTCCACAGCAAAATGGAGGGGTAGAACGCAAGCATAGGCACATTCTTGCCATGGCTGTTAGTGATTAGTAAAAAGTAGAGGACCTGCTTGTAATTTCTGTTTCTATTATCTTGTACGGTGTCGTTTTGATCTTGGTGTTTTACTTTGTTTGTAACGACAGATAAGTGTAAAAAGCTTAGCTATCTTCTTCTTCTTCTTAGCTTAGCTCGTCTCTACTTCTCAATCTTGAGTATAAAAGCTTGAGCAAATTGTAACTAATTCAGTTAATGAAAAGTCAATAATTCTTCCACTCTCTTTCATTTTCTATTAATCTTTGAGTGTCATATGGTATCAAAGCCACACGACTAATGTCCATGGCTAGAGTTCCTGGTAACGATCTGTCAAACAAGAGTACAGAGAAGATGCTTAACAGCTCAATCAGTACTCACGCTTAGATCTTTAGCTCCAGTCTTCAGGTCATCACTCCAAAATTGACCAGAGATAACTACCGAGACAACTATCGGTTTTGGAGGTCTCAAGTTCTCTCTACAGTAGGAGCTCACGATCTTGAAGAACACCTAACAGGTTTGATTCCATGTCCAGAACCTCTTATTGTTTATGATGATGATTTGAAAGAGCTCGGCTCAAATGGAATTAAGGAAACCCTAGGAAAAGAAAAGATTAATCCAGAGTACATAGTCTGGAAAAAGACTGATAAGTTTCTTGTAACCTGGCTCCTTGCATCAATTAGTGAATGTATGTTTAGTCAAGTGTCGAAATGCAAGCTGTCTACTGATATTTGGTTCACTCTTGAAAACGAGTTCTTAGCTGATTCTAAAGCTAGAGCTTTAAATTTGAAAAACCTGCTTCAAACCACGCAAAAAGGCAATCTGAGTGTGAGTGAGTATGTGAAGAAAATGAAAGGGATTGCTGAGAGTCTATCTTCCAGTGGTCAAATTGTTTCAGATGAGGAAGTGTTACAATATGTCTTAGATGGATTAGGTCCAGAATTCGATGCAGTTGTCGTTAATCTGACCTCCAGGATTGAATCCAAGTTTGATTCAATTACTTTACAAGAGGCTCAATTCCTGCTGCAAAAATATGAACTGAGACTTGAGAAATTTAATTCTCCCGATTTTTCAAATTGTTCAGTAAATGTGGCTTCCCTCAGTCCCAATTTAACTAAGTCTCACAACTCAGCATCAGGACATTTAAACTCTGTTGAAAATCCTTCTAGAAGTACTGGACCTGGACATTTTGGATCAGTTAACCATATGGTTCCGCTGCAGAATGCTGTATCTGTACCTTCACAGAGTTATCCGTTGACAGTTGGTGGTCCATCAATAAGTCAGAATGCTCCTAATCTCTTATCTGAGGTTATAAGTCAGATGTCTAACTTACCTGCCTATAGACCCTCTGGATTTGTTGGAAGTGGCAGAGGCAGGGGCAGAAATAGTGGGAGAGGAAAACCGATTTGTCAAGTGTGTGGCAAAATGGGACACACAGCAATTCAATGTTATCATCGTTACAACACCAGCTACAATGGATCGTTCAACTACAATGGTTCTTCTCCTCAATTTAATACCAATTATACTGGTGGTACCTCAGCTCACTTTAATTCACCACACTTTAATTCATCACAAAGGTTTAGTGGTTTTTCTCAAGATCCTGGTGCTGGTACTGGCAATGTTAACACTAATGCATTTGGTCCTATGTTTGCTCCTGGAAATAGTCCTTATGATCATCACTCACAACAGCATGGAAACCACAAACATCAGTTTCAAAAGTATCAATCTGATCAGCAAAAGCAGTCTTCCTACTCAACTCAACAGCCAGACTTCAAGGTTCCCAATCCACAAATGCAATCCTCACAAATGCAAACCCCAAACCAAGCCTTCTTTGCTGCCCACTCAGCTACATCCTTTCCAAACATGAACCCATTTCAGCCTACCACTATCACTTCCAACTCATCACTTGACCCAGCCTGGTATATGGACTCTGGTGCAACTAATCATGTTGCATCAGATCCAAATCAATTAACAATCAGCCGCAACT